AGAGAGGCTTTGTCAGTTATGTGTGACATTTTCAATATGCCCCCCCCCCCCACGGCCTTGCCATCATAAAGCTTGGGACCAACATGTTGCTGCACTGTATGTGGCCCACGAGAAAGCTGTTACGGAACAGTCACAGAAGGCGAGAAACAAGGTGTTTTCACTTCATCGCTCTGATGAAACTGATGTCGCAGAGATTGTGGTAAGCTATGATGGTACGTGGTCCAAACTAGAATACACAGCTAATATCCGGGTTGGTTTTGTCATCTTGGTTAAAACTGGTGAAGTGCTTGATTTCCAATTTGAGTTGAAGGTGTGCTCATCAGAGTGTACATCAGCAAAGAAGAATCTTGGTGAAGATTATGCTGAGTATGCCATTTGGTACGGTGGGTGATAATGAAGTTGAATTTGATGATGAAAATGACTATCCGTTAGCCAGATTTGTTCATAATGATGAGTCTAATGACACTGATGATGCACCATTGGCTCAATTTGCCAGTAGAAATCAGGAAAAGTGACTGTGACATTCTTGCAAAGATAAGTGTTGACTTTGGACAGGTAAATTGCACCCAAACATCAGAAGACACCAGCAACATTGTTTACTAACTTTAAATGGCGTTTTCCCAAAAACCGTACTTTGGCTAGTAGCCGTTACTTAAATCCTATCTTCTCAAAGAGTATTTAAGCAATCTTGCTGATTTTTTCTGAGATTGTTCTTTGTATGTTTCTGCACAAATTAATGGATGCTTTTTACACTCTGATCAAAATTGAATGTTCTACACCAAAATTGGTGTGGATGAGTAAGATCCTTACCTAGTACTTGTTGTCATGTCAAGAAAATAGAGAGTTAGACAAAAAGCATCCATTATTTTGTTCACAAGGATGTAATCTATTACTCAACTTAAATTCATCAAGTATGGATGCTTAGATTTTGACTAGATAGATTTTAAATATAGAAAGTTGAAAATTCAATTCTCTGGTTTGCAAGGTTGTCATACATTTAAATTTTTTCTTGGGAGGTCATCTGTGATAATATTTGTGTAGAGCATGTTATAAGCTTCAAAAGGATATATGGCATGTTGCATATGCATTAAACCATAATAAGATAGAGCCGATGATGCATCATAGGTTTGCGAACAAATAATTCAGGTAGCAGGAGCCCTTATTAACACAATTTATGGTAAAATGAAGGAACATGTAATAGTATCTGAAACAAATCACATATTATTCAAAAGTTGTAAACACTGTTGCACATAACAAAATATCGCCGCATTTCTAATGGTAACTGACTATAAATTAGGCCAATTTAAACTCGATTATGAAAAATATCAAAAACTAAAGGTCATGTTTATAAACACAGACTTTAGTTTTATAAATATATACATTAGCGCTATACGAAGCCAACGAAGGCATATTTTGCCCTAAATACTCGTTCAGAGTCTCAGAGGTGTGTTCTAGTACACAATTAATCTTCTCTCACAGTTTAAAACAAATAATGATACTAACCTTCGAGAAATTGTGTATAAATCTTATCGAATTTAACCATTTTGCCACAGATTTTGCAAAAAATATTTGTTAGACGGACAAAGGATTAATGGACACTCCTTGCGTGAAAATGTTAATTTATCCCAAAGTTTGAATAAATTAATCCAAGATTGCATTATTTGCATAATAATGTACAGGGATGTCGGAAGTTGCTGGGGGCAAGGAGTGCCAAAAATTTTTTGGTCAGTGTACCATTTTAGGGGTAAAAAAAATTTTCCGGACATACCGAAAATTTTTCCGGAAAATGTTATTTTTTCCGAAAATTAAAACATTTTTCCGGAAATAACATGTATTGAATTTTTCAAAAATGCCCTTTGCGCAAAAAATGCAATTTTTAATGAAAATTTTTCACGCATAAAGGGCACTTTGTGCACCCGTTGCACCCGTATTCTGCACCCGTAGTGCACCCGTAAAGTTGTAAAGACAAAAGGCAACGGGTGCAACTGCACCCGCTGCACCCGTGGTTCCGGCATCCCTGATAATGTACTTGTCATTGACCAATCAGAATACATAGAAGACCGCCCGGTGCCAGGGCCTTTTCCCGCCTTCCAAATGACAAAAAGGGAACGAGGTTGGGAACGAGGTTGGGTAGTTGTATCCCTCGAAATCTGCAGTTATCTTGGTATTGTCTCTATTTAGCCTTTCATAGACCGTTCAAGATTCCACTGTTTAATTAGCACTAAAGCAGTAATGGTAGGTTTATAGGGGGGAAGGGGGGTTGACAGAGGTGTACACCCTTGGCCAACAGGGGAGCATAAAAATCGAAGGGGAGGGAGCTAGGAGCTAAATATTGAATTTATCATCCCTATGACCATATGAGACATTGCACATTTATAATTAGTATTACAAATATATTTCCACGTTGTAACCTTAGGTATTTCTTGTGGTATGTGTAATTGAGGTTAGTATCCGAGGTTAGTACGTGAAGCATAATTGATGAAATGCACTGCTGCCCGATACCGGGTTCAGAGTCCTCACCTGTTCGCCTAGCATGACCCCAAAACAATCTGGCTGAATCTACCACTGCCAAAAAGATATGATTATAATCAACAATATGCAATTTTGATGCCACATTGTGTGCCAACATACGAAATGGACTTTGCACAGATTGTGCACTGCCTTTTCATTTCATACTGGGCGAACATTATCGTGAGGATAGCAAAAAAAACAAATTCACAATAATGGTGTCCTAATGTGTCCTTTTTTACTATTTTCCTAATTGTCTTGTTTCATGAACTAAATACGGTAAGCTAACATACTTAGTAGTTCATGCTTAGGCCATAGGTTCATGTTCAAACAAGGGCCAATTTTCTTTATAGTGGTTAAAGTTATTCAATAGGGTACTATTACCTTGTATGCAGAGCCTTATAGAATTAAAAAAAAAATTGTATAGGATGTTACAAGGTTACAAGACCGTTGGAAGTAAATCAATGTGGGGAGGGGGGTCTTAATCAAGAATAAATCTGAATTGCTTTTGCACTTTTCTTGTTCTTTTGTGTGTCTTGCTTATACAAATGGAAATTATTGACGGGGGGCGGGCTCAAAACGATGACCTTGTGTTATGTGTGACACTGCCATATTTTATGCTCAAGTAAATAGAAAGTATTGCAGCAAGCTAATTAAATCATCATTTTGCTTATAGCCTGGGCATGGCTGAAGTAATGATCAGAGGTTCACTCCTCAGTGGCATAACTTCTACGGGCTGTGCCCGGAAAGAGCCAGTGGGGTGTGCCTTGTCAAGGAAGGTCCCTGGACTAATCTTTACGCATTGTTTGGAAAGCTCTTCCTAAACAGTAGATCAAGGATGTCTTTCACGGGGAGCACTGAGACTTCATCCTACCCAAAATTAAGATTCTGGGAAATGAGTACACCCTACGTCCTCAGTGTATAAATATCAATGTTTGAACTTTTAATATTAGAATAGAGTGTGAATTTCCAGGAGTGAAATAAATGGAAAGTGCTATTTTTGCAGGTTATCCTTGACCCAAAAAATAGATTGATTATGTGATCACACAGGACGAAAAGCGTGCCCTTAATATGGTTGTAAAGGCAGATTAATCGTGTATTTTATTAGTGTTTAGTTACACTTAATGCGATTTATTAAAGACACTAAACGCGCACCTTTAGACACGTTTAGTGCTTCCTAACCGCCGGATTAATACTTAAGACTAAATGTTGATTAAATTGTACTAAAGGTAGATTTAATTAAGTTGATTAAATACAGATTAATGCAGTTTAAAAGAACGTACTGTATAATTCCCTTTAATATCTGTGACCTATTTGACTAAAGCGAATTTATTCATAAATGTTCTAGTTGGTTAAAGAGTATTAAAAGTAACTTTAATCCATTGTTTAAAGGTTGATAAAGCATGTGATAAGTATAAATTAATCGCTTTAAAACATCATTAAACCTTGCGTAAATGCGAATTTAACTGTCTTTAATTAACCTATTATATCGCAATAATTCAGCTTTTTTTTTGTTCGTTAGCTGGCTCTTACTTGTATATAAAACCTATTCCATGTGAATACACAAAAAAAACTGAATTCCATGCAATTACAAGCTTAACTCGCAATAAAAAGATAATTTCTAATGATTATATTCACTACAATCTACACATGCATATAGCTATCTAGTCAAACAAATACAAACAACACCCGTTCATTATAAACAAAACACGCATTTATTTCCACCTATATACCCGTGTATTTACAAAATGAAACCATTGTTCATTTAAATAAATAGATAAGTCGTAACGTATAGTAATGATAGGTTCATTCCTATCATTATTATTATTGCTGATGAGGCGATTTTTTCTTTGGTACAGTGAATAATTATGGTGTTCTTAACATCTAAATTACAATTTAGTTCATCTCCAGATGCGCCATAGCCAATATATTTTCAAAACACATTGCGCGTCTGCATGGAGACCAGTAAACAATGCCGCTGAACTTTGAGCTCGGAGTAAATACGCCATATATTTACTGCATGCACCACAGAATAAAGCGCCTTCCCAGGACATAAAAATGATATACACTGCAAGAATACATATGTATGCCTTAATTAATAGAGTGCATAATGCGCTCTACATACCTTAACAAGTCAGTATAATTTTATCGGTTTAAAACTTAATTCAAATAGGCTACGTAAGGTATAGTTTAGCGTATTTGATGAGCAGTCAATCCGGCCTGATCGTGAAGTACCCAATAATTTGATGTGCATTGCAGTACGCTTAAACTCTGAAGCGAAACCACTATAAACGTGGGCTTTCGCAGTTTTTAATTGTCATTCAAGCGCAATTTATTAAACGCAACAAGAGATTTATATATGCATCGCATTGATTTGTTCCGTGATGAAACATGTAAGGTTTTATAAAGTTACTCGAGATTTTATAGTTGTTTCAATGGTTTCTCTTGCTCCTTGGCATCATGACTCTCTTTGATAGTCCAGGCAGCGAATCCTAGTGACTCTTATCGACTTTTCTCTTTACTTGCCATGTAGTTCTCTGACTCTGGTTTCCCAGGTAAACTTTCGTACTGCTTAACCCTATGGGTTTCTTCGTCGGCATCTCACTTTCGTCGGATAACATGTTCTCCAACGTGAGGACATCCGCTACCTTTGCCACACTTTCCTGGCTCCTGTTAACTTTATTAAGATGTTTGAATCTTCTTGCCAGTTTCTAAAAATGAATACAGATAATATTAGCATCATTCAAGATTTTTTCCATGCATCATCGGGAGCTTATTGCTTTGATATATTGCATGCTACATATACAGCTAATTCAGAAAAGGTTGTCCCTCGAAAATCTCAAACATTAAACTTTAAGCTTGCAAACAGTGATGGGCAACTTAAATCCGTTTATGGCTTTTGACTGGGCAAATAATCCTAGTACACCGCTAATTGTACATTATAGTGCTTATTATATGTCTTGCCATAGTTGCAATGCAAAATTCGCTAGTAAAAAATCCAAAAGTATATGGTCTGTATACCAAAAGCATGCATACAGTTTTTTTAACCCCAAATAATGCACTATAGTCTGAATTGAAACCCTGACCTCAGGAATATTCAGAAATTTTAACGTTTAACAACTGTTAAATCCCAGCTTATTAAAAATGTTGCTGAATTATTAAATTAACTAGATGGCTGGGTCGGAATATTTGGCTTTCTAGGTTAAATTTAATCCCAAGGAAATACATGTATCTTGTTTTGGATGTTACTCTGAGTGTATATCTACATCATGCAGGCAGGCTAAAAAGTTAGCCTGACCACTGCGGGAATCGAAACCGCGACCTTTGGTATATACTAGTCCAATGTTCTGCCAAATGAGCTACGAGGCCAAGTCTGTTCGAGTATGTGCCTTCGGAACTAAGTCTAGTACCTTCAGTACCAATGTGTTCTATGCATGATCATGATATTTTTGTGTGTGTTTTGATGTTATCCCAAAGGTCGCGGGTTCAATTCCCACCATCGTTCAGGGTAACCTTTCAACCTGCCTGTTGTTGATATACACTCAGAGTAACATAAAAAAACATTCTTCTTCTTCATGTCACGTGTACAACTGGGCACCAAAATGGTGACATTTCTTATTAACTTGTATTCCCCCTGCAAAGGCAGAGCAATCCGGCATATACTTTTGGGTCAAGGCTTTCAACTGACTAGTAATTAAGCCACTGCACGATAAACGATAGTATCTAATTAAGGGCCTGTTTATATGGAAGCCGGGTTGGCCCGCTGTAGGCGAGACAGTATACGGTAAGCGATATCTCGCTGTGTAGTTATGTTTGTAATAATTATTGTAAATTTATATTGACAAGCGGGCTGCCCGCTTACGAAGATTGGAGTTTCTCCATAATATAAACACTCACGAGCGGGCTACCCGTTTTTCAGGATAAAAGATACTACCGCCAGCTATTTTTAAGATACTGTCAAAACAATAAAATATATCAAAATAACAAAATATTCCCTGCAAGTGGGATAAAATTTTCTCATATAAACAGAAGAGAAATTCATCCCGCATACCGTGCTGTCTCGCTACAAGTGGGCCAGTCCGGCTTCCATATAAACAGGCCTAACTTCAAGTCTAATCAACTAAGGTAGGCCTAACTATGAAGACAATACAGTATTGAGGCACGTTAATGCATCAAATACTAGCCGTTTTAAAAAGCAGGTATTGTATATAACTAAGACTAATTGCATGCATTGTACTAATTGCATGCAAACACTGGACCACATATATGTAGACTATATGTTGTTCAAATTGAAATAATTTCAAATTTGTCGCTAATATTTCAAATAAACTGTATTTTTATAACGGTCCAATGGGCAAAGTTTATTTATACAGTATGCATATATACTGTACTCCGCAAAGATGCATTGTCTGACAATTCTAAACGGAAATATACAGTATAATATTGCCCCGATTCTCTGACTCGTCTCCGAGTATTAGATCACAGTTAATAGAAGATTAGATCGGGCCATGATATCCATCTTCTCGTTGATATTGTAGTTCAGCGCGTTTTCAATCATTGTAACAGTATTGGCCATTTGTTTATTATTATTATTATTATTATTAATGGTTTAAGATACACACCTTCGCAATAGATTGAATTATTGTGCGTTTACAAAATTAGTACGCTATATAATTATATTTACATATAAAAATTTAAGTTGCATGCATCAAGTCTAAAAATCTTATTGAATTGCATTAAAATCATCGTAATTAAGTATCACGCTTAAGTTTCTTTACTACATGTATAACTATTATATAAAGCTACTGTACTGGGAAAAAAGCTACGGCGATATCTTTCTGTTCGGCATTTTATTGTTGTTAATGTGTTAGAGTTTCTAAGTTCATAATCATTTGAACTAGCCCTAGACAATGGAACATATTTTGACAGTGGTCCTTCAATTTCTATGCGTTTCATAGTATTGAAGCAATGATGTTCTCGCCTTTCATCCAATCTGGAACACCCAAGTTGTGCTAATGCTTCCCTATAAGAGTAACCCGGTAAAATGATCCTCAGCGCTCGTTTTTGCACTCGCTCTAAATCATCGGCGAGGTACAAAGGTAGGGCATGATGCCATACCACACAACAGTACTCCAGAACCGATCGTATTAAGGCAAAGTATATACTCAATAAGTCTTCCGCAGGGACACCACCTCGTCGCAATATGCGGATGATATATAAACGTTTAGAAGCCTTGGATACAACTGATTCTATGTGTGCATTCCATTTAAGATCGTTTTGGATAACCAGACCTAGGACTTTATGAGACCGCACAACCTCAAGCGCATGGCCGTCGATCAACAATGGTGATAGATCAGGTGATTCCCGCAGAAAGCAAACGCGTAGTTCTTTGCACTTTTGGGGGTTAAGTTTCATAAGGTTGCACGAAGCCCAAGAATTTATAGTATCAATACAGAACTGAAACTTTGAATTGCTGCCTTTTGTGATATTTTCAGATGTTGATATGTCATCCACAAATTTCCAAATATCCGTTGCGTGTGGTTTCACATCCAGATCATTTATCATCGCCAAAAACAGAATTAGACCGAGTTTAGTTCCCTGGGGGACACCCGCATTCATTGGCAACCAGTCTGATGTTTTCCCTCCAAGTTTGACCCGATGTTGGCGGTTAGTTAGGAAGTTGATAATCCAAGGTAACAAGGACGATCTAACACCTAGGTCCAACAGCTATAATATTAGTAAATTATGTCCTATACGGTCGAACGCCTTTTCGAAGTCAAGGAAACAAAGTCTAAGACGTTTTTCAGGACAATCCAGTGGCGGCGCCAGGGGGGGCAAGGGGGGGCAAATGCCCCCCCCCAAATTATTTTTTGCCCCCCCCATTTTGCCCCCCCTCAAAAAAATTTATTAGTCACTGAGAGCAACTAAAGGCTACACAAGCGTTTTGTTGTTATCGGAAAATGTATGGCTTATAAGTTGTCATTACTCATTAGTGAATGCGCGTATACATGAAACTGTCTTTTACAGTTTCAATATTAGTTTGTAAATCTCTGAATGCTAAAACTTGCCAGTACTCCAATAATACTTTTCAAAAAAAGACAAAAACAAATAATACCGTCAACGGATAAAAATTTTACAAGGAATGCAGACCAAATAGCTAAAATTCGCCCCCTTTTGAGAGGGGAGCGAATCTCCTGCGGGGGGGGGGGACAAAAGTCCTGTGACAACGGCATGGGCAAATAGCAGTACATTTTTAAAAATTCTATCTTGCCCCCCCAAAATATGAGTTTGCCCCTCAAATGCCCCCCCAAATTCTGAGGCCTGGCGCCGCCACTGGGACAATCTAAGTTTCACAACCAAGTGTGGATCATGTCTAAAAGACAATAAGTTGTGGATGTTCCTTTCAAGCATCCAAACTGCTTGAGGTCGATCTTGTCTTTAATATCGGTTATCATCCACCCGACCACGAAATCTTCAAGAACCTTAGCCAGGCAGGGTATCAGTGAGATGGGTCTGGTGTCACCTTCACAGGTAGGAGGTTGTGATTTTGGAACTGGTATGATGTCTGAGTCTTTCCATATTGCAGGAACGATTCCAGATGAAAGTGATTCGTTGAAGATAGTTGAAACAGGTTCGGATAATTCATGGGCAACTCTTTAGGGATACGACAGGGGACGTTATCTGGGCATTGAGCTTTAAAAGGTTTAATTTCTAAGAGTTTTTAGATACTTCATGTGGTTGAACTGTTGGAGCAGGTTCTTCGGCCGGAAGAAATGCCGGGAGTGTCGCTAAATTAAGTGGTGGAATGGCACTATTCACCGATGCGTAGAACACATTCAAAGCTCTAACTAATTCTGATTGATCCAGGGTTCTTCCATCATGTTCAAGCGAGAAGGAGTTCTTTCCAGATTTTCCTGCCATTTTATTTACGATTTTCCACCACATACGGCAGTCATCCTTCTTTAGATGTTGCACCTTTGTTTTATAGTACGATATTTTCCTCGCATTGATTTCGTGTTGCACCTTATATTTCAACGATTTCCACAAGATTGTATTACGACCATGAAACGCCTTTTGTCGATATTTGATAAGCTGTTTTATTGCAGGTGTTATCCATGGTTTATCGGTGTGATGACGTGTTGACTTCTGTTGTGGGAAGATTCGGTCAATACTTTCTGTTAACTGGTTTGTAAACGAGACTGCCAAGCTATCAACAGTAGGGTTGGGTTCAAGGTCACAAAACCAATTATGTGTGGTAACCCATCTTCCGAAAGCATCTATTCCTGATCTGGGATAGCGCCGTACTAAGGATTTAACAGGTTTTGCTTGGATGTTGTGGCTGGGAATGGTATCGACTGATGGTAGCCAGTGTACAATATTATGGTCACTGGATCCTAATGGAGCAAGGACATTAGGGCGGTAGTAGTGAAACCCCCCCATCTGGAGTACAAAGGGATGCCGCCAATGACGTCACGCTGCTCCGAAAGTAATTAGTATGCAAAATATGTGACGTAACGTTGCTGACCCTAACTCTAACCCTGGGCCAGGTAGCGCGACCAATTAACACGGGCAGGCCTGGGCCAACTGTGACAGGTAGCGCGACCAATTAACATGGACAGGTCTGGGCCAACTGTGGTAATTAGCATTACAACTAGTTTCTGACAAATTTGTAATAAAACGATAAGAGGTTTCTCATAGTTTGCATGTATAAAAGTATGAAATAGAAGTTAGTTTTTTAAAACCTACCGTTAGCTCAGTTGGTAGAGCAAAGGACTGTAGT